ACGCGACAGAAACTCGTTCCTTCAAGGCGGGCTCGCGGGTTGTCAAATCGTCCAATGGCCATTGTTCTTACGTTCCTTTCTGCTTCTTACATTTAGCTGCATTCTTCTTTCTGGGAGATCTCTTGTTGGGAAGACCGTGGCGAGTGAATATGATGGTTGTTCGTTGGCAGCACGAAACTACCGCTTTTGAGAACGCTGCAGGTTATCTCATGACCGAGCTTTAAGTACCGCGAAAAGCTAAACGCGAATGGCAAAGCGGAAAAGAAGAGCAATAGGAGCTGGCGCGTGATCTAGAGCTACGGAACGTGATGCAGTAGCTTTGCAGCTGCACCCGATGCTGAAAACATTTCTGCCGCTGTTCTCCACAGCGCGAAAAAAGACCGTCATTACCTGCTATGACGCTGAATGAATGATGCACGAAAATCATGCACTATTTTCCTGTATCTTTTTCGGTGACACGAAGCAATATTTGCTTCCTGTGCTACATTGTGATAGGATTTTAAAAAGTAAAAATAAAAAAAAAACACGACGAGAAATAACCGGGGACGCAATGCGTCGAAGCCTAAGACGTCGAGACCTTTTGAATCCTAAAACTATTGATATTGAATGAGCGTGTGCGCTTCACAACACGTGTGTATCTAGCATAAAAAATAAGCATCGACTTCAACAGTCAAACGTGAACGCAGTGCTCGTGTAACATAGTGTTTTCAACAAACATTGACGCCATTTTGTAGACTAACGCCTTACTAATAAGTGCTCTAAAAAATAATTGGAATGACACGTGTCACAAGTATAAACTACAAGGTTTATTTAACCTATATAATATAACAATGAATTCTGGACGCCGAAGAAATGATAACAGAATGGAATAAAATTATTTTATACTATATTTTCGCTAAACATATAGTCAAACAAAAATTTCGAATTAAAAGCTATTAACATTTTTAACCAAGCAAGCAATTCCAATTTTTGCTAATACCCCATTCTATAATAGTTAAAAAATTAGGCGCTGTCGCACATCATATCGCAGCCCGAAAAAGCCCTCTTTGTCAGAACTAACAAATACATCACAACCCATCTAGGAGGTTCGTTGGTGAGGCCCAGGAAATCAAATGGCCCTACTTACAATCAAATAGTTTTAAAGCGTATTTCGATATGGAGGATATATGATATAAATTTGATGGTGAGCGCATAATAGCGTATAAGTCCGCAGGTCAATCTTCACAAGTGACCTGATCAGGGCTAAATCTATCGGTTGAATTATCTATACGAAAAGAATGTTTATACGAAGATGGCATTTAGGCTAATGAGTATGGGTCATCTCGCAGCAAATATGAGTTGTAACGAATTTTCATATCCCAGGTCCATCTTCCATGAAAAAGCTCAATGCCCCATTCTTGGTCGGACTAGTCAGGAACTCTATTTAAATACGTCCAAATGTGTGAGGTAGTTCTTCAACTTAATCAAGAAGTATAGTGAGCAGTTGAGTTAAGCAAGTGTGATGACTAAATATGCCTGAGCTATGTGGACTGACCAGTCTTCACGTTTGCCGGTCTTCTTGCTAACCAATGTCACTTTCAGTTAGCATATCGATTTACTAACAAGTGGAAACATAAGTGTTTGCGAATTCTGTTCGTGCTAATTTCCTAACCAAGGAAGAACTGCAGACGAGACATGTTTGTCTCGTTTAATCGAATTGCCCACTGACAAGAAGACAGTGGCATAATGTCGGTCCTTTTGTGGTCGCACAACGTCTAGCCTAGGAACACTGCTCTCCTGTCTTGCTAGGACACGTGCATCGTCCTATATAACTTCCCTTATGTAAATTTAATATTGAGCCAACTAAAGCTGTGTATAGTAACGATTCCTGTTCTCCGTTGTATAGAACGAAATAATTCACATTGCGATCCGAAGCGTCAGCCACGCTTACGCTCCCTTATTCCAATGTACAATATATGCTAGCGAGAGTATAATCATTTTACTTTGTTCGCACATCACTTACACGACACAGCGTTTATATTAATCAAATGCGTATGTTCTTATGAAGCTGGATGTGAAGTTTGGAATATTTAATCTACCCTGCGGGTGGTTAGGCAGCCCACCATCGAGGAAATCAAAATGCTCCACAACCTAATCCAGTAAAATACAGACACTGAATGAAAACCTAGATACTCATTCCGGTCGAGCTGTATGAGACTCAATATGGTTTTTGCGAAGCAACGCTACTCTGGTTCAGCAATATACCAAGTTATACCCTATATTTTGTCCTTTCTACCGGCCAAACCGCCGTGAGTCATCTACCGGAAGCCATTTGGTACTATTTGACTTTGGCTCAAGATTTCCCCCTGCCATCGATTGCAATCCATTTCCTGTATCCGGCTTCCTTAGTAGTGGCAATAGTGGGGGGTTAGAGCTGAAGTAATGTGCAATGCAAGCATAATTCAAAATAATTTCTTCGGTCTTCGATGTAGGGACGCTTCATTGGCGAATCGCGTTGACAGGCTCCTAACTATTCCTACGGTTGTCGCTATTACTGCCATATTCCAAATTGCTACCAGCTACTTGAAGCAAACTTTGCTTGAGCTTTCAAGTTTTTTCAGCCATAGTCCTTGATGCGTTAGTCGATTATCCTTTTTGCATTCTGCGATAACTTCGCCACGTCCTATAGTTCGATCGGCTCTAGTATTTGTATTGCGAGAAATCTTCAGTAACTGGCTGTCGCCAGATTAAGCGTTGCTTTAGCCAGCCGTATACGAAAGGCAATTCCGCAATTCTTACAACAACTAGGCGGTCGACTACACTTTCCGTAGTGGTCATAACCTAAGTCCTCAGCTAATGAATACATACAGCCCACTTGCCTTGGCTGTTATCCAATGCGCCCGCACCCCTAACGGGGGCCGACTGCCCTTCCCAGTTTCGATTCGCTGCAACTTCTCTGCAGCCGCTATCGTCGACATACAGCGTTCGGCGGATCCAGTCGGTTTTCTCGATTTGGGCGGGCCGAAACAAACTGGGCCGCCAGCACATGGCACAGGATGAAGAAAACGGTATGGAAGAGAGGCGAACAGGGAGCGACAGGAGGAAAACGCAATTCTTCATTACTCCGGTCATGTCCCAAGGCCCAGCTCTCGAATCTTTACTGCTAAACGCTCAAAGCGGCCTCTGAAAATCTGTCCAGTTAGATGTAAATGCTAATCCCCAATGCGTATATGCTGTGTTAGTAGAACGACAGTATCAAACTACGGACGGCGGTCTGTGGTACCTGCAGAAATCCGTTCACGAGAAGTAGCAGTTGCTCCCATTTACATGTCCCGTGTATGCTTGTTTGCAAGTCCGAATGTATAGGGCATTTGAAATGTTTGCGTCTATTGTCGTGCGCGTGTTTGTCTCCGAACGTGCGAGTGAATTTCTGTGTCTCTATATACACCTGTCCCATAACAGACTTCAATTAGCTTAGAGATCGACGGTCCGTTGAACAGTGTGAAATTGTATGACAGTGCATGCGGTATTCGTGTGATGGGTTTGTAATGCTGAGTGTTATAGCAGTTAGCCACACTGAAGGAATACACATACGGCCACAAATGGACATAGGCACGTAGGTGAAGAAGCAATAGATAGCCATCTTAGCGGCGGTTGACCCAGATGTGGATCGAAGCCCCCCATTACGGGCGGTCCGGAACTGTGGCAGTGGTACGCTATAGTAGCAGCTTGAGGAAGAGGAGCAGGGAAAAACGATAGGGGCTTATCCATTTGTCACTGATGCCATACAAGATATTCGCTTTGGTCGGTTTAGCTGTTACGAGACACACGACACTGTTCATGAATGCTTCACTTATTCACACGCCGCATATATTCCTCAAATGCCACTATTTGTTGACCTCTAGCCGGCAGTCTCTTGCTCATTTTCTCTACTGCTCGTATGTTGCCGTTGACCCAGAGGCACATCGTCGCATCTTTAGGATGTGGTCGTCACAGATAATCACTCACCACCGTCGTTGTATCCTTCTTGGTATGTCTTTTTTGCTTCCATCCCCATTGCCACAGTCTTAGCTTTCCGATTCCCAACAATCTTTCCACATCTCTGCCTATCTATTGGCTTCGCTGCCGTCTTTCTCTCTCGTCCCCCTCATATCTTATTGTGCAACCATAAATCTGACCGAAAATATTGCGACTGACTTGGGTTTTATATAGCCAGTTTGGAAATTGGCCCCCAACAATTTACAACGATCGCTATTGCTGTTGATGTGCCGTGCACCTCGGCGAAGTAGAAGGCAGAGTGGGAAACATTGGCGGATGTTCTATTAACATATATCCCGTTAAAACTGTTACAGGATTTTGTTGACAATATGAGCTACTGAAAATTCATTTCCAGAAGTTGTATCTTCCAAAGTCGTTGTCACCTCTAATGGCATCTGTTTGCGGCGCATATATTGAGTAGCTCCATCCGTGTTTCTGTATTAAATAATTAATTAATGGGGTTGATCAAATAATTAATACTAGAGCACTTTTCACGTAGACGCTCAATTATCAACAGGACTTTTTTGCTCTAAAGTCAACCGGAAATGTACAATCACAAACCGATATCCGGTTCCCGAGGCAGACCGAAACATAGAGGGGCCAGATTTGACATCAATGCTACCGTTTCTAATTTAATGTAAAGAAGAGCTAATCTTAATCAAAATTATTATTAGGGCATCAAAGGACAGTGCCCTCTAAAATTGCAGATATGACCTAGTACAAGTTCCAGGTTTAATGCAATTTTACTAGCGTTTTTAGTTACGCCTGAAAGCCACGTTTTTTATTCATTTATGTTCGAATGTGTAACTAGGAAGCATAACGGTAAAATGCGTGTTCGGGTGATTGTAGCGGATGTTCGCGGCTTGTCACTACTCTCTATCCAAATCCTATTCTATTAAAAAATTTCAAAAGAAAGCCTCGGAAAACTTCGAGCCTCACATTGCACGTAATCCGCTCAGTGAAGAAACAATTGATTGACTCACCGGTGAGCTCATCATCGTCGAACGCGTGGACGGCACCGATTATCGGCAGCAGAATGAGACTGACCGCTATAACTTTGGCGGCCGCCACATGGCAACTCATGAACTGCTTCATTTTCGGTGGTTGTTGTTCGTGGTCGTGTTGATGCAGCACGAGGTTCTCAGCGGTAACTAGGCACAACGAATAAGAGCCTGATTTCTTCTTAGTAGCTGTTGTTGTTGTTGTTAGTGGTGCCGCTGTTGTCGCTCCCGCTGCTGTCGCTGGACCTTGCACGTCGTGTGCTCGGCGGTCGTAAGCTTCACACTGTCGACAATACACGAGATCGCGCAACGTTTACCAGCCGATTGCGACAACTGCACCATTAACGGCACGGACAACAGTGACGTGGACTGCTGCGGCGGTGGCAGCAGCAGCGCACTTCAGGGTGACGGCGCCATTTTCCTTGTCTTGAACGCGGTGCTGAGATAATCCTGAGAGGGGGCAGCGCTGGATGTTAGCACAACAGCACGAACCAGTGAGGCACCCATCATTGTTAGAAATCGTACGATACATTTGGCTCATTATTTTTCGTCTAGACCACAGAAGAGAACAACAATAATAATTCGGTAGTGTTAAGTACTCTGGACAGTGTACTTTATTGCGGCAGAGGTCTTGCTCCCGCCTAAAGTGCGGGATGACGGCCGACACAGGACCAGTTGGCTGGAAGAGCACAAAACGCAACGTTTTATATTTCGACACTGATTGAACCGAACTTCACAGCACCGATTGATCATAACACGAAACTCACGACACACTGAAGTATATTATCGATGCAACGTTCACACAAACGACGAAGGCACGTCGCTGTCCAACGTCATCGAAAGATCAGGAAAAAAGGGATTACGATAGCAGTGGGGGGTGCTTAGGCTACCTCTCTGGGTAGACGGCAGTAGACCGCCAATCACCGAAATGAACTAACAACAACTTCTATAAACATAGTAAAACACCTTCCATCCATGACTTATGGGTGGTTGGCACGCCGTAATATGCATAAACGTGTATAGGTAAATGTTTTCTATATGCCTACATGCACGTACGCAGGTGTGCGACATAACAATCGACGCTAGGTAGATAAAGGGTATCCGCTATGTATTGGCACTAACACTTCCGTATTACTATTAGATGTGTCCGTCTACCACACCTTCGGTAGGCTATTGACATGCGCGTCTCGGATCAACTCAGCGACCGGACGAAAGGAAAAGATAACCGCTGCATCACTACCCTAGTACTCCCAAGTAGGGTTATCGCTAGATCATCGACATCAACATAAAAGTAAGACAATCATCACGATAATAACGCTAATGTTTGACTGTGACGTACGAGCTAGAGCTTAATGGTAACGATGATGATGCTGCCTACAATAACAGCGACTACTGTGTGCGCTGTAGTAGTAGCAACTGTAGCAGCAAAGGCAGTAGCGGTAAACACAGACGTCTACAAATCTGGAGAGACAGATGTACGCGAACTCCCGGTTCGCTAGGGCCTCTCTGCTGTTAGGACGGGACCTCTGCACTCTTGGGGGAGAGTTTGGCCGGCATGGAGTTGGGAGAGGGCAGCCGTTCAACCCTTTGCCTCGAAATGGCTACCCTCTCCTCGGGTGCGAAACCCTCCGCGGGGGAAGTAATGCCAACAGTTCGCAGCGTCTGCATCAGTCCGCATCGTATAGCCTATAGCAATAACGCTATTCAAGTACTATATTAGACAGGACAATCTAGACAGCAAAAACAGCAGACGAGTTGATCGGTCGACAACCGATACCAAAGATTCGAGCAACTGCAAATGTCAGCATTGGCACGGCCTTTTTTTGAGAATATCTTTTAGAAAAGCAAATGCTTTTATTGCTTAAGGATGACGGTATACGACGAACACGAGAGCCGAATGGAAAAAAGCAGCCAGTTATGCCATTCGGGAGAATTGAACCGAGTTGGCCGTCACCATTATGAGATTACCGTAGCCGCTACCAATCTCTGTATAGAGAGTCACTGTGATAGATACATTTTATATAGATCTAGGCCTTCTGCACCTATCAATATATATGGAGCCTACGCGTCTCGCTTGAGAATTCACTCTTATTTGCAGTATTGGATCCCTAGCAGCTACGAGAATACATTATGAGCCCCAATGGAGAGAAGACCCTTGTTGGTAAATTCTAATTCACCATGGACGGTGAAGGTGGCAGCACTGGCACGACCCGAAGAAGATCGAATTGAAGGACACGATACAGGGTTATGCTTTAATTCTTCAGGTCCATTAACAGTGTTCTTATTTACATGCATGTAAATAAATAAAGGCTATCTGTTCTGCGATCTGATATTTTGTAATTGTGTAAGATCAATAGTGGTCAATTTGACGTTTCGAAAGGCGCGTTAATAGTATCGCATAAAACAAGTGTTAGCCAAAATGTCGTCCAACAACCTGGTTCATTTAATACCGTAACTAAAAGAGCTGCTTCATTAAGCCAAAACATATAAAAGAAAGTTTTTCCTTGTGAAACATCTATCTAGCAGCTATCTACGATCTGTGTATTTTTCTAGAGATGGCTTTGTTTAGTGAAACGATTAACGCCATGTTTTCAACATTGCAGACCTGCAGCTTTACTGATGCCGATAAGTATCAGAGAACTTACAAATTCTACGGGAATCTACCCAGTTTAAAACAACGCCTGGCTAAGGTTAGCTATCGGCTTCGAGGGTAACATATTTGTCGAATTTCCTCTTTTTAACAAGATCAAACCATATTTACTGGGCGGTTCGGCTTGATGGCTGAAACGTGGATGGATATATGCGAATTCCCCTGACGGCTTGGTTACTCGGTAAATTATGCTAAAATATCGGAAAAATGTGCTTCTGCTAAACGCTGTCATATGGATGACAAACGGCGAGGATGAAGCAAGGGTGTGTGTATTATGCCTACAGAGGCCGTGAAATTCAAACATACGTTTGAAGGAGCTAGGTTCGAGGCTGTACGGTGGCTACTAAATCAAAACGATCGTCATGCGTCTATTTGAGACGCTATAAGTTCCTGTGATGAATGATACCAGATTGATTCAATGCATAACATCATAATTAGATTAAAATTGGCAACGCTTGCCATTATGTGTTCAATGTTACATCACTCAGCCGAGCGCCTCAGGGTTCTCTTATTGAAATAGGACAGGAGATGCTTGAAGGTAAAATTTGCAAAACACACAATTTCCAAAATGAACTGACGAATACGTTTGTCTAGCTTGACAATGATAAAATACAGAGTCTTAGGGAGTTTGCTTGTCGAGACCCGATAGAAAAAATCTAGTCGTGTTGCCTCATGAGTTTCCATAATACAATCAGGGTTACCATAAATAAGAGCCTCGTAAGGGATCGCTTGCTTCGAACTTGCCCTTCAATAGTTGCGGCGTTTTAGTGGAACTCCATATATTCTGTATTGAGTTAATCCAAATTCGAAAGAAAGCCCTTAACATATCGCTATTAACATAACAACGAGAATCATTAGCAGCTGGGCGTAAAAGAGAACGGCTTGATGACGTCTCGGTTCGCAGTCTTCATCATACGGTGCCACGAACTTTATAATTGTTTGTAAATAGAGTAATAATGTTCGTATATTTATGTGTTTACTGCTTCGGGCTGATAAAAATGTAAATTAATTGAAAAATAATCTTCGGAACAAAATTAGGATCGCTGTAGAGCTGCCTTTCGGTCCAATTAGCACACGTAAGGCGCTTCGCATAATCTATGGCTTAAGCTCCTTGATTAGCTAAACCTTGTAGGGCTCCATAGTGATGTCTTCGTCCACTACGTTCCTGGTAGTCCCGTACGATATTCGGCCAGAAACTGAAAAGTTCGGATGTCCTTAGCTATTGCATTAACGACTTACTTCATGCTCGCTTCCTAAGGCCTTAGGCGCACGTATCAACACATACAAACCCACTTGTTTTAAACTTTTCCACTGGACTGCTTGCAAAAAGATTATGGCAGTTGCATTGGACTTGTGGCGAGCTGTACCATGTTGTCGTGAGTAACTATCGTTATAAGAAAAATAACAAGATCCAAATCTTTTGACGTCCGTGCTCTTTCGCATGGATACTATCTGAACTGCGTCCGTAACCCAATTGTCAGCCGGAAATCTCACTGAAGTTAATCGGGCTACATAAATTGGGGGTATAAATTCTAGCGGCTCCAGATGTGACAAAAAATCGACTCAGCCAAACAAAAGGCGCGAAAGTAACAGGCCGAATCTCTTCATCTTAGTCTCTACTAGAGGAGAATGTGCTATCTCGTCGTTTGTCTTGGATGTGCTCCGTTTTTGCTGAAGTTAACAAGGACAGCATTTCTTTTTGCGGTGATGTTAAGTCTAACACTCGGGTCCGTTTTTCTGTTTAACGGGCCCAAAAATTAGAATAAATTTTTCAGCTACAGTTTTGCCCGGATTAAAATTTAAATCTTTCACGGAAACTTTACACAGCCCAACTTCTATAAACACTTGTTTATTAACCACGTTCTACAATTTGGGTTTCTAATCATGCGATGATACTATGCTGTATGTATTAAGCAAAACAGTCGAATACGTAAAAATAATGTAACTTATATGACCCATCGTTATCGTTAAGCACAAGCATGTACAGCTGTAGAATTGCCATTAAAGCTGCCATTTGAACTATCTAATGAACTCCATACTGACAATAGTATATCAAAAAAATAGGTAAGAGGTACTGTGTAGCAGTATGGAAATGAAACGGGTTTAAAAATACACAAAAACGATTGACGAAGAAAGGAAAATAAGCTAGCAAGGATGAATACTGAGCTCTGGGGACGATGTTCAATGCTTGAGAAATCATCGTTAATGAAGAGAAGAAGACCGCTAGACTGTTACGTATGTTTAGATAAAATAGAACCAATTAAAAGGAAAACGAAAGTGAAAAATCAATGAAACTATCGGAAAGCTTGAATTTGACTAAATTTAATGTGGAAAAGGAACGTTTGGCCAGCTAGGTTAGAGTGTATCATGGACTCCTATGCCAGAATCAGAAAGGGTAAGCAGTCAGTTTAATACAAATGCATAATATGTGTAGAGACGTAGCAAGTAAAAATGGCACAGGAATTTCGAAGAAGAGAGTGGCAAACGTAACATTGTTACACACAATGCTAAATTTCCACATACATATAAGCATTTAGAAGAAAAGCTTACAAGCTCTATAAAAGAATACGTAAAGGCAATAGTATATGGTCCGAGACGTAAATACGGAGAGCACTTCGTCGGCTGAGCATTATTATCCAGTGTTGTGGCATATAGTTGACATCCACTGAAAAATTCAGCCTGTGAATGATGGGAGACGCAAATGCACCATGACTATCCGAAGGATACTGGTAGCCAGTCGACCGATAACGTATTAGCTCTACCACTTCTACTTAACAGTTTTCAGCTGAAAATATAAATGCAAAACAGAGCAATCAATACAGAAAAGTCTCCTGTTGCCAAAGCGGCGAAAAAACTTCAAGTGCTCACTGATCCTCAAGCCGAAACATTATATGCCAACGCTTTAAAAGCGAGATTTAATAAAGATGATAACACGTGTCGATTACGTAATGACGAAGAATAAAAATTCCGTCTGCCCAAAATTGCTCATGGGGCATGAATGCTGTGCTAGTGGAAACGATCATCTTGGCTAAATATATTTGGCGTCAGGCGCGAACCTTATCGCTAAGCTTAAATCTATTTCTGACAGGCTCAATAGATAACCAGAGGCTCCTATGATAGGTCAATGATAACATTCACACTCGATAAACGTATTCGTTTGCTTTTAGGCAATGAAAACACGTTTCTGATCTTCGTTAAATCTTATTTTAAAATAAAATAATTAATAAAACTGATACCGGTTCCGAGGTTTTGTCTGCCAAAAGAGTAAGTCTATCGATTCTTTTTAACTAGCCTCTGTAATTGGCTTTACATAGAGCTCGGGACGCGCGGTCTAAACAGTAAAATTCAATTGTTTTAGCATACAATTAGCACGAATCACTTACGTCCAACAAGTTGATTTCGCTTTGCCCCTAACGGTGGAAATTTCCATCGCTTTTTTCCTGCTGTCGTGAGGGGTTCCTCGTTTTATTTTATTATTATCACCTATTTGTGGGTTATGATATACTCGCTTGATTGGCAAGCGGAAAATATGTGCGGATTTATCGTTCTGTATTGATATTCTATATATAACAAGATATTCTAGTCTGGCTGGCTAAGGTAAACGAGTGCGTATAACATTTACGGTATCGCGCAAACAAGATTAGACGCCCTATTTAAGTAGTTGTGACCATATACATTAGCTCGGATTGATGTTGACAGTTGCGGCAAGCGCCGGAAGGAATATCGTATGATTTCAGCAAACACTTAACTGAATCGAAGATACGATCAACAAATAATCATAAATAACAACAAATAATAGGACATTGCGTTGCATATATT